GCCGGCGGTGTGCCGCTCCCCTGCAGAAGTGGGGAAAGTGGCCAGGGGGAACCGCCCTTCCACGGAGGTGGAAGGGACGGTAGCCAACCCGGGAAGAACCAGCAGCAAACCCGGGGAGGGCCGAGCAGACAAAAGAACAGCGCAGGGTCCTGTGTCGTTCCTCCACGAAGACGGGGAGCGACAGTTTGCTATGCCTTTTCCTTTCTCTTTTCTCTTGTCCTTTTGGAACACCCATAAGTTGAATGTTTGCTTGCTTTGGGTGTCCAGTAAGTCTTTTTTTGGATGGCTGTTATTTCAAAATGTTTGTTTTCAATTCTGCCACCTCAGTTCTGCTGCTGAGTTCCCAATTATTTTTTTATATTTTTATTTTTTATTTATTTATTTATTTATTTATTTATTTTTGACAGGCAGAGTGGACAGTGAGAGAGAGAGACAGAGAGACAGGTCTTCCTTTGCCGTTGGTTCACCCTCCAATGGCTGCTGCGGCTGGCGCGCTGCGGCCGGCGCACCGTGCTGATCCGATAGCAGGAGCCAGGTGCTTTTCCTGGTCTCCCATGGGGTGCAGGGCCCAAGCACCTGGGCCATCCTCCACTGCACTTCCCCGGCCACAGCAGAGAGCTGGCCTGGAAGAGGGGCAACCGGGACAGAATCCAGCGCCCCAACCGGGACTGGAACCTGGTGTGCCGGCGCCGCAAGGCGGAGGATTAGCCTAGTGAGCCATGGTGCCGGCCCCCAATTATTTTTAAATTTATTTGTTGAGCTCCTTAGATGCAAGAATATGGATTGGTTCTTTTCTCATTATCTCTACCGATGCTGAATTTCTCTTTCAAGTCATGAGTTATCTTCCTGATTTCACTGAATGATCAGCCCCTTGTTCACTTGCATCTCATTAAGTTCCCTTAATATTGTTTTGTTCCTTGTCAGGCGAATCATCGATTTTCACTTCCGTGTGGTCTGTTGCTACTGAGTTATTGTGCTTCTTTTGGAGGCAGCATGTGACCTTGTTTTTCTTTTTAGGTATTTATTTATTTGAGAGAATTACAGACAGAGAGAGGGGGAGAAAGTTCTTCCATCCACTGGTTCACTCCCCAAATGGCAAGAACAGCCAGAACTAAGCCAATCTGAAGCCAGGAGCCAGGAGCTTCTTCTGGGTCTCCCATGTGGGTGCAGGGGCCCAAGGACTTGGGCCATCCTCTGTGCTTTCCCAGGTATAATAACAGAGAACTAGATAGGAAGAGGTGCAGCCAGGACATGAACCAGCGCCCATATGGGATGCTGGCACAGCAGGCGGAGGCTTAGCCCACTATGTCATAGTGCCAGCCCTGTGTGACCTTGTTTTTCGTGCTTCTTGTTTTATTGTGTGGGTTTTGTGCATCTGGTGGGTCATCTGCTTTTACCAGTTTTATAAGGTGGCTTTTGTAGTAAAAGACTTTCTGCTGGTGATGTGTCCTGGAGTGCTGGCTGGATACGCTGTGTTGGCTTTGGTCCCACGTAGGTGCTTCAGTCCTCTTTGTGTAGGCGTCTCTTCAGCTGTAATCAATGTTGGTGACATCTGTGGGTGTCTCAGTGGCCTAGGGTGCAGGGATTGTGGGATTGCACCACCACGGGGATGCTGCTCCCTTGGATGGAGCCAGTCTGCTGGCAACTCTGAGTGCAGTGCACTTGGCTTGCACTTCTCCGTTTCTGCACATAATGTGAGGGTGGGGCACTGAGATGAGTATCTTTAAAATACATAGCTTTATCCCAGACTTTGAGAAGTCTAATGTTATCCCTGATTCCAGCTTATATTTCCAATATTTTCATACATCAGCGCTCTAAACATAAGGTGTATCCTGTGTCCAAAGTCCAAATACAAATGACATCTCACAGTCTCCATTAGAAACAACTGTGAATCTGCTTCTGATGATCACTTAGACGGGACACTAACGTGAAGAAATCAATGCCCGTTTCCCAGTCAGAATAGCAGAGAGCAAAGGCATGCAGGGACGATGTGCCAGCTGCTTGCAGAACATCACCCAGTAGAGACAGCCATTCAGCGACCCAGCTCATGGCCACACGATGTGTGGTCTTTCAATAAGCTACATAATCCCCTGTGTCTCGGTTTGCTCATCTGTAGAATGTGCTTATAGCTGTGTGGTAACATGAGCTGATGTGCTTCACAGCCTTAAAAGAGTGCCTGGCACTCAATAAGGACCTCAGTCAGTGTCAGATGTTACCATTGCCCATAGTACCAATACTATTAGTTTCTTCCAGAACAATCTAATTCAAAAAGCAATCATTAGGTCCTATACTTGGAGGAAAGCAATGCAGGAACCCTTAGATCTTAAGGCACCACCCAACCCCAAAGCAGGAATCCTTGGGCCCACTAGTGAGATGTGAGGAAGGTGACAGGCCCTCTCTCCCCTGCCCTGTCCCTGGCTGCCTTCTCAGGCCTTCTCCCTTAGGCCTCAGCACAGGATAAAATCACCCCTTACTGGGATATGGGTCACATTGATTTTTTTTTTTTTTTGTAGAAATGTTTGCCAGAGATAAGAGCCTCCTGGGATGAGCAAGACCCCAGATCCCTATTTACTATAACAAGCAGTTTATTCCTCGAGGGTCAGCCCTCTGGTTACTGTCCCTGGGGTTACATTTCACAAAATCAACATCCACTGAGTCAGTTTCTGGAGAAGACTTTTCTTATCTTTTTCACATGAAGTGAAAATACAGTACATTTTCTTTTTCTTTTTTTTCCCCAGAGAAACCATTTATTTAAAGAGTACAATTTTCATAAGTACAACTTTAAGAATATAGTGATTCTTCCCATCATACCTGCCCTCCCACCCCACCTCCTCCCTCCTATCCCATTCCCAGTCCCATTCTCCATAAGGAGAAAAAAAAATAACTGTTCCTCGACAGTCAAGACAAGGGCTCTTCAAGTCATTGCTTCTCAAAGTGCCACTTTCACTTCTACAGATTTCCTTTTAGGTGTTCTCTTAGTTATCACAGATCAGGGACAACATATGGCATTTGTCCCTTTGGGTTGGCTTATTTTACTCAATATGATGCTTTCCAGATTCAACCGTTTTGTTGCAAATGAGATTTCATTTTTTAAAAGATTTTATTTATTTATTTGAAAGTCAGAGTTAGAAGGAGAGGCAGAGAGAAAGAGAGGTCTTCCATCCACTGGTTCACTCCCCCCAACAGCTGCAACGGCCAGAGCTGAAGGCAGGAGCCAGGAGCTTCCTCCAGATCTCCCACACGGGTGCAGGGGCCCTAGGACTCCGGCCATCCTCCACTGCTTTCCCAGCCCATAGCAGAGAGCTGGATAGGAAGTAGAGCAGCTGGGAATCGAACTGGTGCCCATATGGGATGCCGGCACAGCAGGCGGCAGCTTCACCCACCATGCCACAGTGGCGGCCCCTCATTTTTTTACCACTGTGTAGCTGCAATACATAGGAGTGCAGATAACTCTTTCATATGCTGATTTCATTTCCCTTGAATAAATTCCCAGGAGTGGGATGGCTGGGTCATATGGTAGGTCTATATTCAGATTTCTGAGGTATCTCCATACTGTCTTCCACAGTGGCTATACCAATTTACATTCCCACCAACAGTGGATTAGGGTACCTTTTTCCCCACATTCTCACCAGCATTTGTTGTTCATTGATTTCTGTATGAAAGCCATTCTACCCAGGGTGAGGTGAAACCTTATTATGGTTTATTTGCATCTCACTGAGGCTAGTGATACTGAACATTTTTTTCATGTGTCTGTTGGCCATTTGGATTTCCTCTTTTGAAAAATACCTGTTTAAGTCCTTGGCCCATCTCTTAACTGGGTTGTTTTTTGTTGTTGTTGTTGTGGAGTTTCTTGATCTCTTTATATATTCTGGTTATTAATCCTTTATCAGTTGCATTGTTTGCAAATAATTTCTCCCATTTTGTTGGTTGCCTCTTCATTTTTCTGAGTGTTTTTTTGCAATGCAGAAGTTTCTCAATTTGATGTAATCCCACTTGTTGATTTAGGCTTTGATTTCCTGTGCCTCTGGGGTCTTTTCCAAGACATCTTTGCCTGTGCCAATGTCTTGCAGGGTTCCCCAATGTTCTCTAGTAATTTGATGGTATCAGGTTATAGATTTAGGCCTTTAATCTTTCTGAAAGGATTTTTGTGTAAGGTGTATGGTAGGGGTCCTGCTTCATACTCATGCATGTGGAAATCCAGTTTTCCCAGCACCACTTGTTGAAGAGACTGTTCTTGTTCCAGGGATTTGTTTTAGCTCCTTGATCAAATATAAGTTGGTAGTAGATGCATGGATTGATTTCTGGTGCTTCTATTCTGTTCCATTGGTCTAGCCATCTGTTTTTGTACCAGTACCAGGTTGTTTTGATTATAACTGCTTTCTAGTATGTCTTGAAATTTGGTATTGTGATGCCACCAAATTTGTTTTTGTTGTATTAGATTGTTTTAGCAATCGCTATATTCCTAAAGCTATACCTATGAAATTTATATTTATTAAATAAAAGCTTTCTAAAAAATATTGTTTTAGCTATTCAAGGTCTCCTGTGCTTCCATATGAACTTCAGCATCATTTTTTTCTAGATCTAAGAAGAATGCTTTTGGTATTTTATTGGTATCACATTGAATCTATAAATTGCTTTAGAAGAATGGACATTTTGATGATATTGATTATCCCAATCCATGAACATGGAAGATTTTTTTCCCATTTTTTGGTATCTTCTTCTATTTGTTTCTTTAATGTTTTGTAATTCTCATTGTAGAGATATTTGACATCCTTGGTTAAATTTATTCTAAGGTATTTGATTTTTTTTGTAGCTATTGTGAATAGGATCCATCTTAGAAGTTCTTTTTCAGTCATGGCATTGTCTGTGTATACGAGGCTGTTGATATTTGTGTATTGATTTTATACCCTGCTACTTTACCAAACTCTTCTGTGAGTTCCAATAATCTCTTGGTGGAGTCCTTTGGATCCCCTATATAAAATCATGTCATCTGCAAATAGGAATAGTTTGACTTCCTCATTCCCAATTTGAATCCCTTTGATTTCTTTTTGTCGTCTAATGGCTCTGGCTAAAATTTCCAGGACTATACTGAATAGCAATGGTGAGAGTGGGCATCCTTGTCTGGTTCTGGATCTCAGTGGGAATGCTTCCAACTTTTCCCCATTCAATAGGACTTTGGCCATGATTTGTCATAAATTGCCTTGTGTTAAGGAACATTCCTTCTATACCCAGTTTGCTTAGAGTTTTTGTCACGAAAGGGTGTTGTATTTTATCAAATGCTTTCTCTGCATGCTATTGAGATAATCGCATGGTTTTTGTTCTGCAGTTTTTTAAATGTAACGTATCACATTGACTGATTTGCGAGTGTTGATAAATCCTTGCATACCAGGGACGATAAATCCCTCTTGGTCTGGGTGAATGATCTTTCTGATATGCTGTTGGATTCAACTGGTCAGAATTTTGCTGAGGATTTTGCACATTTTATTTTTCAACACTGCTGAGCTCCTGAAAGGGAATGTAAGAGACGATATATCTTTTGGCAAAAGTAATGGTCCGTGTGTATAACTTGTATATTTATGTCTTAGCCAGTATTTTTTGTAAGATCTATTTATTTATTTATGTATTTTAAAGGCAGAGTTACAGAGAGAGAGGTAGAGACAGAGAAAAAGAGTTCTTCCATCTGCTGTTCATGCCCCAGAGGACCGCAACAGGCAGGGCTGGGCAAAGCTGAAGCCAGGAGCCAGGAGCTCCATTCAGGTTTCCCACATGGGTGGCAGGGGCCCAAGCACTTGGGCCATCTTCTGCTGCTTTCCCAGGCATATTAGCAGTAAGATGGATTGGAAGTGGAGCAGCTGGGACTCAGATGGGATGCAGCTTACCCTGCTGTGCTACACCAACCAATCTGTTTTCTTGAAAAGATCCAAACTGGCAACAACTAACAGAAAGTGGTGGTTCTAACTTAGAAAAGACTTAATTCTGCCACAAGGGCAGGAGAGATATTGAGAGCCTGCCTGATTGTGGGTTCATCTGAACATCCCATGGCATGCTGGCTCAGGACTCCCCGGGGACGAGTCTCTTCAAGCAAAGCCACTATTGCACCATTACAGCTGGCAGGATCATCCAGGGGAGGAACTTCTGTACAAAAGCAGGGAAACCTGAACCATGCGCCCTTGGAACCAGGGCTTTTCCACCAAGACAGTGGGGAATTCTTCCCAGTGACTTCCTCCCTCAGTGCATCTCCCACCGAGCTCGGAGTTTTTCCCTCTTACTTCAAGCACGCATTGCATTTCAGCGCCACACTCCCTCCCAGAACTGATCAAAGCCACAGACACAAACCTGTTCTTGACTGATTAGGCTTGCAGTGAAAAGCTTGTGCCCGCAACTAGGTATTGGGTTTCAAGTCTTCCATTCCCATTTGCAGAACAGATTTATTCACTCTTCGAATATTCATCGAGCACTTACTTTGTGTCAAGCACTGTTAAGTTCACTGGGATCCCACAAGAGCATTGTGGTCACTGTCCTCGTGGTTTATAACTAGCAAATCGAATAAACAAAAAAAAATACGATCATGAGTTGTACGTACTGTGAGAAAGTAAGAGCAGGATGCTGATGAGGAAGGCAGAGTAGCTGCTGCAGACTGGAATGCTCTGGGGTGACAAGTGGAATCCTGAGGGACAGGGCTGGCACTGTGGCGCAGCAGGTAAAGCCGCCACCCACAATGCCCGCATCCCATATGGGTACCGGTTCGAATTCTGCTTGCTCCACTTCTGATCCAGCTCTCTGCAGCAGAAGATGGCTCCAGTACTTGGGCCTCTACTACCCACATAGGAGACCTGAAAGAAGCTACTGGCTCCTGGTTTGGCCTGGCCCAGCCCTGGGCCAGCCCTGGGCTGTTGGGGCCATTTGGGGAGTGAACCAGTAGACAGAAGATCTCTCTCTTTCTCTCTCTCTCTCTCTCTCTATATATATATATATACACATATATAGGCAAATATATATATATATGCCTTTCAAATAAATAAATAAATCTTAAGAAAGAAAGAAAGAAAGAGAATCTGAATAGATGAGAAAGAACCCATCGTGTGACTAGCAGAAGGAAGAGCCTCCCCCAGCTGAGAAGTCAATGGAGACATCCCAGAATACAAAACATGCTTGGTGCTGCTTGAGGATTTAAACAGAGACCAGTGTGGGTGGAGATTAGGAGATGAAGCTGGGGCTTTTGTAGGATTTGCTAATACTTTTAGATTTTTAGTCTCAAAGCAGTGGGAAACCAATGACAGTTTTATGCAAAAGAACAGCATGTTCTAATGTCTGTCTCAAAAAGATTGTTGTGAATGCAACATGGAGAGGTACCAAAGGAAAGAGTGGACTGTGGCCATAGGCCATGTGAGAAGTGAGAGCTTGGGGGGCCAGTCCCTTGGATAGGGTCACAGGGTTCGTTTTCCTGGGGAGGGTGTGTGGTTCCCAGTCTACTACACTTCTATCTTTCTCTTGTACTGTTTCTGAATAGCTGAAATTCATTTTTTGAAATTTTTTAAATATTTGAAAAGCAGAATTACTGGGGGTAGTGGGGGAGACAGAGAGAGAGAGAGAGAGGTCTTCCATCTGTTGGTTCATTCCCCAAATGGCCACAACAGCTGGGGCTGGGCCAGGCCTAAGCTAGGAGCCTGGAACTCCATGCATGCCTCCTATGTAGATGGCAGGAGCCCAAGCACTTGAGCAACGCTGCTGCTTTCCTAGGTGCATTAGCAGAGAACTGGATTGGAAGTAGAACAGCCAGGACTCAAACCCATGCCCATATAGGATGCTAGCACCACAGACAGTGGCTTAATCTGCTGTGCCACAATGCTGGCTCCCAGTTTTTGAAATCTCTGCCTCCAGCAGTATCCCCAAGGGTTTATGAAAGACATCCACCCTGTGGCTTCTTTGAACAGTGATTATATTGAGTCAACCAAACTGGTTGCCACCTTCCAGGGACCGCCCTGTATCTTGAGCTGTGGTGGTACAGGGGAGTGTAAGTTGACAGAATCCATCTGTATTTGAAGATAAGAAGAATCCGTCTTTCAAATGGGTTGTGTTTGTGAAGCAAGGGAGAGAAAGGAATCAAGGCTGAGTCCACGTGACAACTGTGCCTTCACCAGCATGCGGAAATGAAAGAGGGAACAGCATGGGCTCGGGGAGAAAAGAGTGCTCTTCTGCACTTGTTCAGGGGAGGATGCCAATGACTCCAAGTAGAGAAACCAAGAAGGCCAATGGATACACCAACATGGCACCCAGCAGAAATGCCTGGGAGTATTGTTGCATAAAAGCCACATGAGGGTCTGGCGCTGTGGCATAGTGGGTAAAGCCACCATTTGCAGTGCCGGCATCCCAAATGGGCACCGGTTCGAGTCCTGGAAGCTCCATTTCCAATCTAGCTCTCTGCTATGGCCTGCAAAAGCAGTGGAAGATGGCCCAAGTGCTTGGGCCCCTGCACCCAAGTGGGAGACCCAGGAGAAGCTCCTGGCTCCTGGCTTCAGATTGGTGCAGCTCCGGCCATTGCCGCCATCTGGGGAGTGAACTAGTGGATGGAAGACCTCTCTCTCTATCTCTCTGTCTCTCTGTCTCTCACGGAACCCCACAGGAGCCTGCACATTAAATTGAGAAGGGACTGTCAGAATGGTAGGGAAAGAGCAGAATAGGGCAGGGGCACAGCCAGGAGGCCAGTGTGGGTCTAGAAGCAGCCAACTATGGGGAAATGTGGTGAGATAAAGCATTCGCATGCAAATGGCACGGAGAGGTGTCCTCTGGGCTTGACAACCCAAAGGTCACTGTTGACCTTGACAAGAGCAGTTTCACTGGGGTGAGGGTAGTGGGGGAAGGCAGGCTGAGCAAGTCAGTTTGGAATGCAAGTCTTTCTCCTTCCTCCTTTTGGTCATCGGACTTGGGGACCTTGCTAAGACACGGGGGAGGTGGGAACCCCAGCAGGCCAGACGTGGCTGCCTTTCTGTTGTCTCCGGAACACAGTTAGAGCATCTCAGACAGGAAGCCTGCTGTGGAGCACGGCTTCCTTGGCAACCACCAAAGAAGACAGGAAGGGAGGGAGAGAAACCCAAACCATGCACTGAAAGAACTGAACTTGATGCATTCTTCTGGCTACTGAATGTCAACATCGTGTGAAAACTCAAGCTGGCAATGTTAGGGGAGGGTCCTTCCTCTCCACCACCATTCATGTCACCTTGATGACGTAGATGAGAGCGCCACAGGGTAAAGGGGCCACCCGCTGAGCTTGGCAGGCTCATGCCTGGGCAGACACCTCATGTCTGGATTGAACTGGCCACTTCCTGTGCAGAAAAATGAAAAACATTAAACCACACATATAAACATCCATCTTTCAAATCCTTTTACTTTATGATCTTAGTTAATTTTAAAATCTGATTGAGCTTTAGTTTCTCCCACTGTTAAGTATTTAATGACTTATAAACAAACACTTGAGGAATCTTTATGGTAATAGGAATTCCATGGTATTTGTGAGCGATTTCACCTTTGTGTTTACTGCATGAGGGAACTCCACATAGGGGTGAGCAAAGGTAGAAAGAGAAAAGAGCTGCTCTCTGCGTCTCAGGGGTAATGTAAGGCCAGCTAATGATGGATGTTTATATGTGTGGTTTAATGCCTGCCATTTTTCTGTTTGTTTTGTTTTGTTTGTAAGATTTACTTACTTACTTGAGAGGCAGAGTTACAGACAGAAGGTGAGACAGAGAGGTCTTCCATCTGCTAGTTCACTCTCCAAATGGCCACAATGGATGGAACTAGGCCAATACGAAGCCAAGGGCCAGGAGCTTCTTCCAGGTCTCCCACATGAGTGCAGGGGCCCAAGCACTTGGGCCATCTTCTACTGCTTCCCCAGGCCATCAGCAGGGAGCTGGATCGGAAGTGGAGTAGCCAGGACTCGAACCAGTGCCATTATGGGATGCCGGGACCACAGGCAGATGCTTAACCTACTATGCTACAGTGCCAGTCCTGTCATTTTTCTTAATAAGAACATTCCAGTTCAATATTATATATGTGGGAAGTAAGATGTCTGGAAATAAATGCTAAGTTCTCTGTTCAGTGATGGGATCCAGTTCCTGTTGATCAACAATGGACAATGAACACATCCTTCTCACATGCTTTAAGCACCCCCCGTCTTTTTTTTTTTTTTAAGTTTTAATTTATTTGAAAGGCAGAGTGACAGAGAGGGTGATTCAGAGAGAGTGAAATATTCCAGCCACTGATTCACTCCCCAAAAGTCTGCTGGAGTCAGGAACTCCATCCAAGTCTCCCATGTGGGTGGTAGAGACTCAAGCACGTGGCCCATCTCCCACAGCCTTCCCAGGTATGTTAGCAAGAAGGTGGATGGAAAGCAGAGCAGCCAGGACGGGAACCTGATACGTGACCCTGGTGTCATAAGCAGCGGCCTAACCCGCCGTGCCGCAATGCCAGCCCCGTACTTTGATCCTCTTTGCAAGGTGACATCTTGAGACAATCTCTTCAGGAAGTAAAAAAATGGTGAGACACCCAAGATGTTACTCCTGGCTGGCCCATTTTGTAATCTTGGTCAAGTGATTTAACCTCTCTCTGCTTCAATTCCTCCTCCAGGAAATGATGTGAATAATATCAACCTTCTCCCTGTGTCTCAGAAGTAATTTGAGGCCAGCTAATTGACTCTACCATATGAGATGCAATGGTGGGGAAAAGAGCTATTAAAATGTGGAATATCATTACCATGCTCCATGTCAGAGATGACCATTTCATAAGCTACCCTCTGGTTAGCCCTTTTGGAAAAAAAAAAAAGAAACACACACTTCTAACATTCTAAGCAAAAATCTTCCTATCTTCAAGGAATTGCCACTGTCATTTGTTTGATCTTAAACTCTAACCCAGTCCTGGGTGGAACATATTTCCATTTTCCCCACATACATTTGTGCTTGAAGATTTCAGCGTATTCTCCGAGGTAACCCAAGGACACCTGAGGTGCAGCAAACCACACCTGGGGAGCCTGGCGTGACCGACCCAGTGTTTTCAGAACCTTGCCTGTTAGAGGCTCTCTGGCCTATTTGTTAAGTCATCTGTGTTCCCCATCAGAGGGCTTGGGTTTGCTACTCAGCCCTGGCTCCTCACTGCAGCTTCCTGCTAATGAGGAACCCTAGAGACACCAGGTGATGCCTCAAGGAACTGCATTCTGCCACCCACAATGGAGACCAGGACCTGGCTCCCAGCTTCTGCCACCCACAATGGAGACCAGGACCTGGCTCCCAGCTGTAGCCGTTGTGAGCATTTAGGTAGTGAACCAGTAATGAGGGAGCGCTCTCATGGTCCCTCTCACTTTTTCACTCTCTCTAACCTGTCTCTTTCTCTATCAAACAAATAACAGTGAAAAACAAAACCTCACCTGCAAACGTAATAGTTAGGTGATAGCTTCCACAAGAACGCAGTCCATAAATAGGCAGCCTCTGGAGCATGGCTCCCACATGAACAACATCCCTAAGCACTGGGCAGCCATAGAGCACAGACAGCATGGACGTTATCCCCATCTTATAAAGCCTCTGTGTGAGGCTCACAGAGAGCTGATGGTTGGTGCAAAGTCGCGGCACCGACAGCAAATGCCAGAGGCAGGACTGGATGCCAGGTCTTCCGATGCTCCTCCAAGACATTCACTATGAGGATGTGAGTGGACATCAGTCCATAGCAGGCGAGGAGGAAAACTACTCCACTCAGATTTCACAGCAAAGAAACTTGCTTATGATCGATTTGACAAAGGGGGCCAAAATGATGGGGAAAATCAACCCCGATGCCTTCTTGCCCTTCTCATCTCTTTACTAGTCAGTATCAAAGGCCACATAATAAATCCTCACCTTGACAACAAAGCGGACCCTTGCCATCCGTGGCCTGAGCATGCGCAGGACAGTGACAGTCTCTGGACACGATGCACTGAGGCTGGTGTGTGGGGCTGAACCTCAGCTAAGGCGGGCAGCTCCCCTCTAGTTTCCTCCCTATGGCCGTTGACCGAGTCCACGAGGCGGGGGGGGGGGGGGGGGGGGGGGGGGGGTGTTGCACTCGAGCATAATATTACAAAATGTGAGGCTCTCCCAAGGCCACGAGCCGTATTCCTCACGAATTCTCGAGGCTTTGCTGGGTAGGAGGCTCCCTGCTTCCATGCTGCCTGCTGGAGTAGTGAGCGAGTCCAGGCTCATGTTGTGGCTCCTAGTAGAAACCAACTCAGATTCCCAACGCAGCTGTGGCCCTTCTGCCGTCTTCCCAACAGCGATTGTTTAAAAAAAAAAAAAAAAAGGCATGACTCATATTTACCAAGCTGTTTTATACGTGTTTTGATGTCAATTGGGGGAATTTAAATCCTCATAAACGTTGAAAACGAGATCTCCTAGAAGCAATCATTTCTAAAGTCCGGAGGCCTTCCATAATGTGAAAAACGACAATTCTTACAAAGACAAGCCAATACTGGTGGTTTTCAGATGAGGCCATCCAAAGCCCCGACTTGAGCTAAGACGCAGGCTTCGAGTGACACCTAACGGCTGAGAAAGTCACTCCCCCCAAAAACTGTTTCAAAATTATCCCAACCCGCGTTCCAAGCTTGTCTCAGAATCACCTGGGTGCCTGTTACCTACCCAAAAATAAAAATAAATTTAAAAGGTCCCGGGCGCTGGCCTCTTGCCGGCCTCGTCGCGAGGACTCGGCATCGCTCAAAACCACTCCGGGCCGACGCCAGTGTGCGGTGGAACTCGAGAACTGTCGATGCTAGTGCCGCCACATCAGCCGCCCACACGGGGCTGACGGACCCGCGGACATCTCCCGGCAGGCGGGCGGGCAGGCGGGCAGCCGGGGTCAGGCCACGGGATGAGGCCCGGCTGGCGCTGGCCTCCGCGGTCGGCCTGACGGGGCCCGGGTCGGGAGGGACAGAGCGCGCGGGCCCGCACGGGGCGGGGGCGGCGGTCTGCGCGGGGCGCGGCGCGGCGCGGAGGGAGGCCGGGGTGCGGGGAGCCGTGAGGCGCGCCCCTAACGCCTGTGCTTGGTGTCCGCAGACGAACCCAGCGCCTGGAGTGCTGCCGCTGCCGCCGCCCCAGGTCTGCCGCAAGTAGGCGTCTCCCTGGAAGACATCCTCTCTCCATTCTCTCCATCACATCCAGCCCCACCCTCCGACCCTTCCCTCCAGATAGGCCCAGACCCCACTTGGGATATCAAAAGGGAACACGACGTTAGGAAACCAAAGGAGCTTTCAGCCGGCGGCCAGAAGAAGCAGCGCCTCGGGGAGCAGAGGGAGCGCTCGGCGAGCCCTCAGCGGGCCGCGCGGCCGAGGCTCGAGGAGGCGCCCGGCGGCCAGGGGCGGCCCGAGGCCGGCAGGCCCGCCTCGGAGGCCAGGGCGCCCGGGCCCGCGGCGGCGGACGCGGCGGACGCGACGCGGGCGGGCGGGCAGGAGGGTCCCCGCGCCGCGGCGGCCCCGGAGCCCGGCCGGCGCGAGGGTCCCGGGGCGGCGGCCGCGTTCGGCGGCGTGGGCGGCGTGAGCGCGCGGGAGGCCGAGGCCAGGGCGGGCGCGCGCGCGGGTTCCCGGCCGGGCCCGCGGCCGCCGGGGGTCGCCCCCGCGCGCAAGGCCTCGGTGGCGCCGGGGCCGTGGCGGGTGCCGGGCTCCGACAAGCTGCCGGGCGTGCTGAAGCCCGGCGCCTCGGCCGCCGGCAGATGAGCGGCGCGGCCGGCCGCCTCCACACGCAAGGCCACGCTTCCGAGGCTCCGTCTCGACGGCGTTTTAATTTATTGTCCCTTTCACACACCGCGTTAGATGCACGAGGCCACCCGGGCCTGGGAGCACCGGCCCGCAGCCCCCGCGTGTCCGCCGAGCGCGGGCGGACGGAACTGATCTTAAAAGACCCCCACCCGGGTCCGCGGCGGGGGGCCCGGGCAGCTACGGAAGAACCAAAACACAACGCGGAGAGGCAGTGCAGTGTAGCTTTAGCTTAACGAAGAGAGAAAAAAAAATACAATAAAACTCCCCCCACTGCATGAAGGATTTGGATGTCATCCAAACTTTAGATCAAGAAACTGGACACGTTAAGAGCAATCACAAACTGGAATTTCGCCTTAAAAACAAATATCAAACTGCACGGAGCAAGCGGAAACTGAGACGAGATTATATCTTTTAATTGATCTAAAGCGTTGTAAATAAATTGTTCTTGACGTATCTGGACAGGGGCTGAAGGGTTTCTTTGAAACGTTCGCCAACTGTTCGCCCATGACGTGTTCCCCGGCTCGCCCCTGGCGTCCGCAGCAGGAGGAGTCGGAAACCTTAGTGACTTCATCGGTGTGATGCTATTTTTTTTTTTTACTGCCATTTCTGTGATCAAGTCATTTTTCTGTACATTACCCAGTGTAGGAGAACAAACGGTTTTTTTTTTTTTTTTAATTGTATCTTAGGGAACAAGTCGCCATCAGTCGGAGTTTGGCAGTTGAGAGCCTAGATCGTCATTGGTTTCCCTCTGAAATAGGCATCTGTGGTGGATGGGCCGCAGAGCGGCGACGCCGCGGTCGGCGGTGTTCTGCTTCACTTGTTTTATTGTCTCGTTTTAAAACCCTCCTTCCATTCCCTCATTTGCACTTTGACAGAGCAAAGTATTGTCCTCTATTTTTCAGATTATAATGAATCTCTAATATTAAAAAATCACTATTATAACCAATTTATTTTCATTAAAGAACATGAGTCCTTTTAGCATTCCTTTCTGCTTCTCTTTCCTTGCTCCTCCTTTTGTTTCCATTTGGTTTGCTTTTGTCTTGTATTCTTTGCCAAATTTTTTTATTTCACTCGCAACTTCTAGATGTTTCTGTTTACCTTCACGGACCTGTGATTGATCCCCTAGAAAAATTCGGAGACTTTCCCTGCCTCTCTCCCCGCTGTTTTTAGCGTTTCTTTGGGAAAAGTTAGCTTGAGTTAATCAGCCATTGGCACTTACTGTAGCCACACATATTAAAAGACAAAACGTTTCTGAAGGCATTTTATCTTTAACACGCCCTGAACCAATAAGGCCTCATTCTTCCCGGGTCCTGCCCCTTGCAGGAGGTCAAATGCAAATAAGCCGCACCTCCCTAGGCCTGCCTACTAGAAAGTCAAAGACCAGACCGGGTCCTTCAGGCCGGGTCACACACCGTGGCCTCCCTCTCCCCGCCCCCATCTTGGTCATTGCTCCCACCTGCGCTCTAGCGGTTTAATTTCCATCAGGCTTGGAGTCATTTGCTCGTTTGACAAGAGGGGACCATGGCTGACAGTCTCACGCGAAGGCTCTTGCAGCTTGTAAGAGCAATTTCCAAAATGAAACCCATTCATCATAAACAAAAGCACAAACACATGTAGCCATTTATAATACTTTCGGTTTAATCTCAATTAGTCTTTCTCCCCGGGGCTAGGAATCCAGTCTAGTTTTGCCATTAATTTATTGAATCTGATTTTGGACAATGCTTCTGTAGAGTAGCTGCACGTCCCTGTACTGTATCCTCCGACCTTTATTTTCCGTGTGTTACAAAAGGAACAAAAAGAAATGAGATTACACTTGCATAAACTCTATAATTTGCACAGTCCACAGCTACTACTGGTGCAGCAATTGCTTTATGCGGCTGTAATCCATAACCTGTGAAGACAGCACACCATCTAAATCCCATTCCAAATAATACTTCTGTGTAGTGTTAGCTGTGAATTTACCCTGTACAGCTGTATCTCTATAAATATAATTCCATGTATTAATAGTCACAGAAAGACTGTAAGTGAGCAACTATTTTTATGAAAACACACCACTATGGATAAATTAACTTTTACAGAAATCTTGTTTACTGTATGATATTCTAAAACACTGTCAAATAAAATATATATCCAAAAATCTTTTCTTTTTCCAACTATATAGGCTGTGTGTTAATTTGACATAGGTAATTCCTGGGGTGGGGGTTTCAATTTGGCTTTTAAAAACTGCAGTTTTCGGAGATTTTTAAAGGGAAGTTTGTTGCTCCAAACAGAACTCGGAAACCTGACTAAATGCAGTGGCGTCACATGGGAAAGGTGGTGGACTTCTTATGGCCCGAATATACGGCGGGTCTCCTGGTGCTGCCCCTCAGCTTCCTCCATCATTTTCGGATTGGCAATGTGTTTGTGTTGCTTGCTGCATTGATTGATACCATGCCTTTTTTCAAAAAGGATTTGGGGTATCAATCAGCAATAAATTCCATCACATTCTTTTCCATTTAATTCTGAAACTTTTTCATACAACATTCTGAGAAGTTCCTACGGAAGCCAACATGTCGCGAGCCGCAGTGTATAAGAATCAAAACAAAGGGCCAAAATAAAAGCTTTTGCAAAGAATTACGCCACCTGCACTAGGGAGAAGAAGGAGTTCTTCCTGGACCTTGCGTGACGAGGACCTTACAGTCGAGAGGAACAGTTCTCAACCCAGCCAAGACTTTTCCCCACTGATGTCAATCAGAGGCCTAAAATTCCTGAACTGTCAATTTCTTATTCCAATACAAAAAATTTTTTAAAGATTTTAATTATTTGAAAGAGTTACAGACAGAGGTAGAGACAGAGAGAGAGTGGTCTTCCACCTGCTGATTCACTCACCAAATGGCCTCAACGACTGGGGCTCAGCCAGGAGCTTCTTCCAGGTCTCCCATGGGGGTGCAGGGGTCCAAGGACTTGGGCTCTCCTCTGCTGCTTTCCTAGGCACATTAGCAGGAGCTGGATAGGAAGTGGAACAGCCAGGACACGAACCAGCACCCATATGGGATGCAGGCCAGGGCTTTAAACTTGCTTCACCATAGCGCCAGCCCCAACCAATACAAAATTTTGAAAATTAAAATGTCATGCATCGTTTTCAAAAAAAAAAAGAAAGAAAGAAAGAAAGAAAACGTGATGTGAAGTGTGAAATAAAACACAAGTTAAGGAATTTGTAATAAATATAGGTGATTCTTTGTGAACTAATCTGAGGCTGGCCCAGGGTGAGCTGAAAAAGCAAAAGACCTAGAAAACAAGGTGGTTAGCAAAATGCACAGTCAATCACCATTTTAAAAGAATAAAAATTAAAACTAATGGGACACTGAAAAGACAGGAAATCAGAGACCATAGGCTTAGCACAAGAACAAGGCAGGGACAAGGGCAAGGCAGGGAGAGAGACATCTGTCCTGGACAGGGGCTTACCTGGGGGTCAAAATCTCCACGGTCAGGTAGGGAAAAGTGAAGGGAGCCAGGTGGACACGGGGCCACAGGAAGAGCCTGCCCCACCACCACCACCAAACTCTCACTGGGGCAAGTCCAACAGTCTTCCAGTTTCTAGAGAGGAAAAAAATAAAGTCAGCTCGTCATTTGCAATTTTATGTTTTTTAAGGTTTGACAAGTTTGACATTTTAAAGAAACACTGAGCAGGCAGTAAAAACTTCCACTACCACAAACCACGTGTAGGCCACGTGGTCAGTCTGCAGCGCGGCCCTGGAACCACAGCCAGATCCTTGACAGAGAACTTGTGCTTTTGTGACCACCTGAGTCACCTGCCACACCTGGGAAGGGGCAGACCCCAGGGAAGGCAAGCCCTGTGGCTCTTGAGGCACCACCCTGCCTGGAAAAGCTTTAGACAAGTATCCAGGGGCCAGGCCCTCTGCTCTGTGACACATTGGGCTTGCTGGGAAGCTCAGCTGGACCCCGAGTCTTATTTGGAACCTAAGCCCTCTTCCTAATGAGTTTCCCCCAACTGTGTAATCTTGGGGTTCCCCGAAGTTGAATCTGCCCCTGCCCTCTTGTTAATGCTATTTTTCAGGTCAAATTCACGGCCACAAAAAAAAAAAAAATCAAGTGATCTCATTGCTGCAAGAATTTGGATCTCTTTTTCTGACGACCGTAGTGCCAGATGCATGCTTATGAAATCGCAGGAGTGCTTTCGGGGTGAAAACAGTGAGGGCGCTACAGCTGAGCATAGGTTCTGCATCGCGTCTCGTTCCCACCCAAGGCCCCAGGTGTGGAGATTACAACTAGAATTACGATCATGAGCGTTGGTGGAAATAACAGCCGCAATTGTAAACGTGTGTGTATGAACAGTGGAGCAACACCCTAGAATTAAACCAAATCCTTGCTGGCCGTTGGGTAGTTCAGTAGCCAGGGACTCCATGTGGGCTTCCGGCTGTCCCACTGCCCCCTGGGGGAGGGAACAGGCAACTGCAAATGACAGCCTGATCAATTTTCCAGGAGGCTAAGGGTTTGATAGCTTTTCCTCTGGAGAAACGGCCTCCTGCCCAGTGATGGCTCCTGGAAAAACCCAGCACCCTGTGAGGCAATAGAATGACCTTTGACCTTCTTTCTTCAGTTGGGGGGGGGAGTAAGTTTTCCAGAACCCTAAGCACCCGTACAAGGTGTGACTGTGGAAAAGGAACCAAAACCCCTGTGTGTCTTGGCTGCAGGTCAGCTGACAGCACACGGAGGAGCGTGCGTCTCTGGGGCACAGACAAGCACGGCTAAAGGAGAATCCTGCCCAGAATTTCACTTGCCACTGTTGTGTTTCTAAACCTGTGCTCCGCCCCCCCCCCACCTTCTACCTGCTCCGTACAAAGGCTCTTTATATTACAAAGTGAGGTCAGACCCCTGGCTGCTCTTGCGGTTTACCTGGTACCTGGCCTCCAGGTGTGAGAATCCCCAGAGGGAGTGGGGCAGATGGCACAAGCGGGGAACGAAGCCCTCAGAAGAAGACTCAGGAAGGCAAAGAGAGAGCATCCGTCAGAAATGTTCACGCGGACAGCGCCTGGCTCCATCCCAGGGCCCTGGCAGGATTCCTATCTATCTAGGATCAGCACCCACATTCATTTGAATTTTAAAATAAAGCCAGACTTTCTATTGATTATGTGATGTTGCTATTTGTATGGCTTTGCTAATTAGATGTGGCCCATAAATTAAAACTTCACATTTGCGAGGTTTCAATGCAAGTGTGTGTAAGACATGCGTACCAAAGGACATGCATCCTTGCAGAATTTAGATTTGGGAATCTAAAACTAGAGATATCTACTGAAAAATGAAATTGGGTGTAGCATTTTATAAAATTATTCTAGGGGTTATGTGAACAAAAAGGGCACTCACATAGGCAAACTTCAGTTTCGCATAATAAAAATTTCTAACTAGCTATTGAGTGTCTACTCTAAATAAAACATTACAGGTAAATAGCACACAGCCCC